AGTAGACCAGCAGCTCCTGTGTTCAGCGAGCTAAAATTACTGTTTATATCAATGGAGTGTGGTGACTTAGCTTCCGTGTCAGCACTCCTGCCTTTTCTCTAAACAGGGGGAGTGCCATGAGACATCTGCTGTAGGTAATACACACTGACTCTATACAACCCCACTTCAAAAAATCCAAACTATCCCTTTAATACTATCCCTTTAAGTTACAGTAGTACACATATGTCGATGACAATGACAATCGATAATCAAGGACATAAAAGCAATAATATAAAATACAGTACATATGAACAAAAACAAAAATTGAAAATAAAAAAAATAAATACACAATTTAACAAAATATATTAATCAAAATGCTACAGTCTTTAAACCAGGATTTACTCTGCATCAGTGAATGGTCTGATGATCACACCATTCACCATCAGTGAATGGTGTGATCATCAGACCTCTCTGCTTCAGACAAGCAAGAGCCACTACGCTATAAAGAGAGTTGTTGCTAACTACTCTGGGAGTCAACACATTAATATTTTTCCTAATAGTGCGAAAAATGAGCCAGTTTGAGAAATGAAGTCATCAGGGGATTTGAAAAGTCACTAAATCTAGCAACAAAGTGACCAAGTTGACAGGAGTGTCTTCCTGCCTGGAGACGATTTCCCCCCAGCGAACATACCCAACAGCAGAATTTAATTTGAGCAAATAGGGCGAATACAAACAAAACACACACACACACACACACACACACACACACACACACACACACACACACAGGCTGTTAGCAGTGAATGCTGGGTAGCCTCTGCTGAATGGTGATGGCAGGTCATTCTCTCCTTGGACTCCAGACAAAACCTTTTCCTGGGATACAAACATCCATTATCACCTGTGTGTCCCTGGTGGCAAGTGGCAGGTAAGGAGAGAACACAAGAGAATGCAGTTACACACTCACACAGACAGTCACACAATACACTGGGTCACAGACATATTGTGTATGGTATCGGCATACACACACAGTAAGAGCTTGTTTTTAACTCATTAGCACACACAAGCAGACCCGCTCAGCTAACACAAGCAGAGCATCTACTTTAAAGGCACATCCATCTCTAAGTTTTAACTGCCTTGAGAGCTTTACCTTCAAAAGCCAGTGTTTTAACTAATGCGCACCGAGAGAGCATTTCAGGCAGTACTTTACTTTGATAAAACTTTTTTTTATCTTTTCAAATATTTATTTCTGTATGACTCCATGGACAATAATCCTCAAACATTAGATGCCTCTGAGGTGTGTATTCAGCATCCTTATTCAGGTGTTGAGATATAATTGGAAAAGGAAGTTCTTGAGTGTGTTTGGTTAAGCCTCTGTCAAAGATGGAAAAAATAAGTCCACTTTGTGGTGTGTTGTTTCGTTGCATGACTAAACTCTTAAATCCTCTATCTGCACACAGAAATAGAAATGGTAACCTGGTCAGTGTTACTGCCTTGGTCCAATAAATTAGCAAAACAGAAAGTTATGCCAGGTACACACTACACATATCAGCCTGATTATAGCCTGACGGAGCATCGGCTCCGCTCTTGAAAAACAACGAGTGTCGTGTGCAATAATCCATTGTTTTATTTTGTGTTGTGTCATAGTAGACAACAACCGATGCCACGTCTAGGATGCCTTGCAATATCCTGACATAGAGTCTTTTTCATGTTTGATTTTCTTTTTGTCGTTCATGACTGCTCCGGTCACAGCCTTCCCTTTGACCAATAGAAACACAGAGTGATCTGTTGCTGTGGACAAGTGTATGTCAACAACACTGCAGCCTTTTTGATATTTCCTGTAGGGATGTTACCACAACATCTGGGTACTCCAGCTTCCTCCCACAGTCCAAAGACATGCAGGTTAGGTTAATTGGTGACTCTAAATTGCCCGTAGTTGTGAATGTGAGCGTGAATGGTTGTCTGTTTCTATATGTCAGCCCTGTGATAGTCTGGCGACCTGTCTAGGTTGTACCCTGCCTCTTGCCCAATTTCAGCTGAGAAAGGCTCCAGCCCCTCCGTGACTCCCAACAGGATAAGCAGTTATGGACAATTAATGAATGAATGTTAACACAACAGGGTAAAATGGGAAAAACGATGGCATGAAACAGCACTTAGGCAGCCCGGTGAGTACTGCCATTAGCATCAAGCTAGCAAAAAATGTTAATTTTTCATAATGAAAGTAAAAAGTAAAGTAATGAAATAAAAGATGTGTGGTGGGGCTTTTACTTACCACGACTGCAGAGGGTACCAGCTTCATAGAAACAGACTCCATTAGAAATGAGCCATTATTTATATAATTCTCTCTATAATTCATCATTTCAACTCAGCACTTCCTGTATCTGTTCAAAATTAAAAGCCCATTACAATTTCAGTTGAGAGAATTCAATAACCATTTCAGCTGGGACGTGACCTGCCATAGTGACTGAAATAATAGTAATAGTAATAAAAGTAGGACAAGAATAACCCGATGACATCACACACATCATGAAAGACAACCAGGGATGATTAGTTGTTGACCATCGTGTCTGTCATGTTTGTCGGCCAAGTCACAGCAAGATTTTATGACTCCACAATCACCTAATCTGACATAGTGACTGTCGTAACAGACAAATATGTCGTGTTGTGTGAGCCTGGCATTGGCTAAACATCAGAATAGATCTGTCAATAACAAAAAAGAAAAAACAAAGATTAGTTGCAGGTATACCTTAACATTTTAATCCATAGTTCTCACAAAATAATCCCTAATTCTGCTCTTGTTTGATTAAAAACCGACCATGTGTGTTTGAGATGTGGTGCGAAAAGGATGGGTGGAAAAAGATGAGAGTAGATTGATTGATTCACTCTCCATGGAAAAAAAAAATCTATATCGCTGCTCAGTAGGATAACAGAATCCACCACATATACATATACTATCCCTTTCACCTCTGTCTGCACATGTTGTACCATGACATCTATGTGGTAATTAATCAAAACCACCCGCCCCCTCAGCCACTGTATCTGAAGGCAGACCTGACACCTATTACCGCATAATTACTAAGCTCCCATTAACATCTGTTAATGTCACAGCGTACAATATTTGTTCAGACGAGACCATCGTGTTTAATCTTTGCACATACATGCCCGTCATCGTAAAGCTGTCACACGTACAACATGTACCATGACCTTGAGACAAAGTCAACTCTGACAGTGCATTAATAAATGTAAAAATAAGAGTAGCTTCAAAGGGAAAATCACTTCTGTTCAATTTAAATCAGTCCTGTCCCCAGCAGCATGAATATCATTTTTAGCCTATGTACAAATACTTGCAATTGCTCTTCAGAGTAATGCTCCACCTGTGCTGCAACAGTTTGTCTGCAATACCTTCTGACACTGACCTCACAAAATAAAAGATTTTCCAGTGTAGCAACTTCCCCGCCTCAGCAAAACACACACACACAGACTGCTACTGTGGCCAGCTGAGTTATTAGAGGTGCTATTTTGTTTTCTTGTGATACCATAACCCACTCTGGAAAGCAAAGACTGCCATTTTCTATGCTAAATATATTTTACACTCCACTTGCTCTCAGTTTGGTTCACCGGCTTGTAGTTTGTAATATATTCAGCCTGCATCGTGTAAAATACACCACTGTTTAAAGGGTGATCAGAAACACAAACTCTGGGAAAGATTCAGATACACCACTGTCATTTTCTATCCAGTCTAGTGATTCAGTAAATCTAACACTACAGTAATAACTTCCCATTTCTATTAGTTTTTTGAAGCTATTTTAAATTGTGTCCTTAGTCTAAATCATTTCGTAGACGGCTGATTTGTTGGCAGCACTCGTTGTTTGGACGACCATATTGCTCCTTGAGCTTGAACTTGTGAAAGAAAGCAGAACAAATACAAAACGCAATCAAACAGTGTAATGGGATGTGTAACAATGATGGGACAAAGACTTAAATGGACTGGAAATACTGGAGGGTAAAAGTTCAACCGAGAAAGGGAAACTTTTTTTCTTTCTTTTTGCATCCCCAAAGAACAATGTGTGTTAACAGTTCAAATTTTGAGGACTCCATTACCCAGAAATCCTTCAGGATGCCCCCAGAGAATTAACAATAAAGGTTCACTGCCCTGTGATGATTGAAAAAGCAAAGCATATTGCACTGCTGGCCAGCCTCTGAACCATGATGTTGTCTTTCAGAGACAAAATATCTGCTGTGACATCACTGACAGGGGTGTGGCTAAATGTGCAACAGGTCCCACATGTTTCCTGCAATGCTTCAGCAGATTTCCCTTGTGTTTTTTCTTGCCTTGCATTACCTCTGTGTCAGGACTGTGTGCTGTGGAGCTCTCCGAGGTGCTGATCCTGCTGCTGGGAGCAGTGTGGGAGCTTTCCAGCGTGCTCTCTTTCTCCTCTGCCCAGAGCAGTGGGAAGGCTTCCATCAGAGGGAGCCTCCAGCCAGTAACGTCCTTAACCTGTTTTCTAACATTTATATACACACTCCCTCTTAGTGTTTTCTGTTTGCTGAAGCTTGAATCTCCTTTCACATGTGAGTACCAAGCGGCAACCTCAGGCTCTGAAAACTGAAGCCAATGAAGAAGTGCCATAAGAGAGTCAATCCCCATAGTTATGCATTACTAGAGCATTGCAGCTTTGAGTGACAGACTGTCTGTGAGACAACACCACAGTCTGTGAGTCAGATCCACCTCTCGTTCCTCCACAGCTCCACCCTCTGGCTCCAAATGTGGTCACAAATGTGGTCGCTCCAAAAATCCAAGATTATGACCAAAAAATGACAAACTCAAGGCTTCAAAAAAGTAGTTCACAAACACATGCGTGACGTCAGGGTAACTACATTCATTAATTTTGTACAGTCTGTGGTGAGTACCCGAGAAAAGTAAATCTTTATTAACTTTATTCTTATACAAGAATTTACAAGTCGGCTAACAGTGTTAGTTAAACTAATGACAGTTGTTCTAACAGATATCTTTCCTTGTCAAATGGCAGTGGTGGGATTTGAACCCACTCCTCCTGAGAGTCTGGAGCCTAAGTCCAGCACCTTAAACCATTCGGCCACACTACCTGCAAACCATAAAGTCACTTAGGTTGGGTCTAGGAAAAGAAATGTGGTGACTGTGGTCAAGGTCACTTGTTTTTTCACAGTCCAAACCATGATCTTTTTCTAAAGCTAACCAAGTAGTTTTGGTTCCTGAATCTAATAATCGCAGTTTCACGAGTCATCAGTTCCCATGTGTATAATGTATGCACATATAACTTAATGGGAGATTAACAAAGATGATCAGTTGGATTGTCAACATTTTTCTTCCAATGTTGACAGCAAAGCCTGATATAATGGCAGTGGTGGGATTTGAACCCACGCCTCCACAGAGACTGGAGCCTAAATCCAGCGCCTTAGACCACTCGGCCACACTAGCTCATTTTCAACAGTGCTCCTACTCCGCTCTGCAACTACTAATCATAATAGTCAACTGTCAATGATTATTGTTCAGACAACAGAAATGTACCTCTAAATACCTTCCACCAATCAGTCTTAAGAGCAACAATCAACAGTTGACATTGCTTGGATGACAAGTGCTTTTAGCTAGTCAAGTCGAGTCGATCAAATTGCCATGTGTCCTTTCGGCAACAGAGGTTGCACACAAGTTTACTTAGCCTGACACCCTTAGTTAGCTAATGAGCTAAGATGTGTTCTAACAGATATGTTAGATGATACTGGAAAGTCACTTAGGTTAGGTCTAGGAAAAGAAACATGGTGACTATGGTCAAGGTCACTTGGTTTTACACAATCCATAACACCAGCCTCCTGAGGAAAGTCCTGTGTTTGTTTGACCCATCCATCACCCGACCTGCCTTTTTAGGCGGATTTTTGCTCTTTGTGCTACTTCCGTCTTTACTCCCATTGGCGCATTGGTCACATGATCAGAGCCTTCCTAATCATGTGGGTGAAATATGAAAGGTGGTGCATTATTTTTATAGGTACATGTATGAACAGTTCATGAGAACAGCCTGCTCAGTTATGTTTATTGTTTTCTGCACTGTAGATTGATGGTGTGAGGGTACTTATTAGAAAGCCTCATTGGCTGTAGTATTTTTTGTTGTGCCAAGAAAATAAAAGTCCTCAATGGTTTCTTCAGTCTCCTGTCTTTCTCTGCACATACTTCTGATGAGTCATAAGTGACAATTGAAAGGTATCACTTCTGTATGAGTAATACATTGTTTTGTTTTGTCTTTTTTTTTAAGGAAAATCCTACATAGTATACATTTAAAAGGTACTCTTTCTATAGTTTTCTTATAAGCAAACAAATTTGAGCATAGCATTAGTTCAGGCAGGACACAATGTCAAGCTCAGGTCACATCCCAGCTACATCAGCTGATCTCAAACAGCCAATCAACAGATGGAGCAGCTGATTGATGAAAGGGAGTCAGCTCATTCAGGCTGCCCTATTTAAACTGCTCTGGCCTGCCTACTGTTGCTGCTTCCTTTGCAAGCTGCTTTGCAAGCTGCCTCCACCCCAGCTCCTCCTTTGAAAGTTGTGTCTGAGTCATCAATGTCATTTCTGTTTGTCATTGATGCTACTCTGTTCTGTTCCCAGGGGGTCTTTGCTGCTGCTCTCCCTGCCTTAGGCTTTCCATGTAGGCGCATGGAAGGGCAGGGAGGTTTGCTCTCTCTGCCTCAGGCTTTCCTTTTTTGCATGTGGAAGGGTGAAGAGGTGTGCTCTCTCCACCTTTGGCTTTCCGCACAGGTGCGTGGAAGGGCAGGAAGGTTTGCTCTCTCTGCCTTAGGCTTTATATAATACTTAGGCTTTAAATGTAATACTGCAAATGGAAATAAAGTTTTCTTCGACAAAAGTGTTCCTGACTAAAATTATATTGACATTAATGGTTTCTCACCAAAATGCATTGTGTGTGTATTGAATGGAACTCCTTCCTCAGAAAACATTTGCAAAGCAGATTTTTTAAAAATACTTTAAAACCTGCATTGGTTACATACATTTGCTAGTTTGAAGTCTTCTTCTTTCGTACCTTTGCTGACTCATTGTTTTGTTTTTTGGTGTGCTTCTGCCACCAACATGAGCATGAAAACCATATTGACGCATGCGCACAAGATAAGCAAACAGGGGTCTGTTCATAAAAACACTGCTCCATAGTGCTACTAGTGTTTCATCATGAGTAGGTGTACCGCTGGCCATACTCATATAGCATGCTCACATCAAATGACAAACACACCAAAACAGCACAAACATGACTGAATAGCTAATAGAGTGCCAATGATACTTATATGGTGAATTTCATATTTTTAAAATCCTTAAGTTTTGTTCTTGTCAAAATGCATATATTGTGGTTTTAAATGTGTTTTGGAGATTAGTGTTATTTCTTTTACATAACATACAGTTGTCTAAATGAAGTCTATACACTGTGACAGTAACAGATGTTCACATGAGTTTAATAATTAAAAAGTAAGAGGTGTCAAGTGGGTGGCAATAGAAGTGCTATGTCTACCTGTAGATATCTTGGCAAGCACATAATGTGTGTGTGTATATATCTGAGTGTGTGTATTTGTGTGTATAATTGAGTGTGTGTGTTTGTGTTAGCTAAATGATTCATTAGCACCATGACAATCTGGACAATTGGTATCGCTGTCGGAGAGCAGGGGATTTGACACAGAGTGTCACACACGCAAATATGCACTTGAATACGAGTACGCCCAATCTTCTACACACACACCCTCACACCCTCACACACACACAGACACACACACACACACACACACACACTGATGCATACAAATAGGTGGACAAACATCCAGGAGCCCAAACATGAGGGTACGCACAAACAAATGCGTAGACTGACCATTGGTTTGACAGTTTCTCACACACACACACACACACACACACACACATAAACACATCCACTCAGAGGCAGTTAAGAGTGAGCAGGTGGAGGCAGAGGCCACATGCGTCTGGCTGGGTGACTGATGAGTTTTTGTGTGACTCAGACACAGTGACATGTCCTCTGAACCTCAGCCGATGGTGTATGACTAACCTGTGGAAATGTGTGTACAGTATATGTGTGTGTGTGTGTGTGTGTGTGTGTGTGTGTGTCTTAAATGACTAAGGCAGTGACAAACCCATCTGTGTGTGTGTGTGTGTGTGTGTGTGTGTGTGTGTGTCTGACAGGGCAGGGTGATGGTATTGTACATGAATGAGACAGAAAGGAGGTGTCTGTGTGTGTGTGTGTGTGTGTGTGTGTTTGTGTGCGTGTGTGTGTGTGTGTATGTGTGTGTGTACTTGTCATGCATAAAAACATTTGTTAACATTATGCTGAAGCCTTCTTGAGAGCATCATTGAAATCCAACAGCAGAAGCCCACACTGGCTGCCTTGGTGGATGATGTCATACCATTCATAAACTGAGCAAGAACACTTGTGTTTTTAGTTGTGCTGAGCATGACTGTAGATGGCAGGTGGACAAAATAAACTACAAACATACTTATCTTGACCCAAACCATGATCTTTTTCTAAAGCTAACCAAGTAATTTATAGCAGTTTCACGAGTCATCAGTTCCCATGTGTATAACTTAATGGGAGATTAACAAAGATGATCAGTTGGCTTGTTGACATTTTTCTTCCAATCATGTTGAAAGCAAATCCCCAAAGGATGGCAGTGGTGGGATTCGAACCCACGCCTCCACAGAGACTGGAGCCTAAATCCAGCGCCTTAGACCACTCGGCCACACTACCTTATAGTCAACAGTGCTCCTACTCTGCTCTGCAACTACTAATCATAATAGTCAAATGTCAATGATTATTGTTCAGACAACAGAAATTTGCCTCTAAATGCCTTCCACCAATCAGTCTTAGAAGCAACAATCAACAGTTGACTTGCACAGTGAAATAAATTAGATACTGTAATTACCTTTGGAGATGTTTTCCACTTCAAAAGGAATGCGTATTACACATTTCAATATAGACACTTGATTGCTCAGTCATATCAAACAATGGGAATGTGAGTGAGTATGGACGGAAATGGTCGAGTCAGCACGAAATCAACCAACTTGCCATGTGTTCTTTTGGTAACAGAGACTGCACACAAGTTTACCAAGTCTAACACCCTTAGTTAGCTAATAAGTAGTGATGTTACGCTCGAGCCAGTTTGCTCGACACAGTGTCGATCTATTGAAGCGCAAGTGTTCCGATCCCTGCTTCAGCACGCCCACAACCACGTGACTACCGGGAGCGAGGCCTCATTACAGGCAGTCCTGAGGCTTTTCCAGGTCTTCCACTTAGATGCAGTTCTGACACACAGCCAGCAGATGTCACTCTTCTGACTGTATGAAATGCTTCGAAGCAGTGTGTCATTCTTGAAGCAGGTGTGTCAAAGTGGTTCAGTGCTTCATGAAGCTTCAATTTCACCATCACTACTAATAAGCTAACTAGCTAAGACACACTCCAACAGATAGCTTTCATTGTCACATGGAGGGATTTGAACCCACGCCTTTTTAGAGACTGGAGCCTAAATCCAGCGCCTTAGACCACTCGGCCACACTACCTGCAAGTGTCCCATGGATGTTTCTGCTGTGACTGAGCAAGCAGTGAAGGCAACTAGGCAGGATAAGTTGACATGTTTTTTTGGTTTTTTTTGTGATCAAATGTTTTTATTTACAATTTCTGTTTATAAGCAGTGGCATCAACAATTATGTCAAAGAAACTTTATACACATATTTCCCGCCCCCACCCTACCCACCCTCGGACCTGAACACTTTGATGACAACATAGATAGCACAGATTGGACAAGGATAGCTGAAACAAGCTGTATCAATTGAAATTCATCTTTCAAGTCTGGCTTTAATTTGATCTGCTGCCATATGTCAAAATAAAATATGATATTTTAAGTTGACATGTTTTTAAAGAATAAGCCATTATGATGTTTCCATTTAGCTGCTTGTGAGCACCAACTTTAACTACCCCAAATGAATATGTTGCAGAGGAGTGCTGACTGATTTAAAGCCATACCATGCTAAAGATCCAACTTCAAATTGCACCACAGAGCCAAATAGCAAAATA